TTTTTAACAATAAAGGTTACTAATACATCAAGCATGATATACATCAAGTCTCAAAAAAAGATTGTTTGAATTAGTGTATATGGAACGTGGGCATGCCCTTGTTAAATCAAATCCATATGAAATACAATGAATCAGAAACTAGAATTGCATGATGAGAGGGTCAGAATACATGTACCAAATTATGTGTTCTCAAATAAATTGTTTGAAAAGACCGTACACTGAGCTACAAGTATTACATCGGGTAATAACCAGTACTCGACGGTTACTTCCTTGTATTTTTTACTCTTGATCTATGTAGTGTTAATCTAAGTATTGCAGCAAGAAAAATAATATTGGCAGCTTTCAGCTATATTGTTATTGAATTGGAAAATTTAGATATACACTGAAGAACAACATTAACCTTGTATTGTCAACCACTTATTTCCTCAACGATATAGATGATGTATTTCTTATGTGTATATATGGAGAAAAGGGAGGACTAAGAAACCTTTTATAACCCATCTACCATCAATGCAGAGATTGTAGCAAAAACCGTTAAAATAAGGAAAATAACTTTAAAAAATATCAACTATCATTCATGAACCAATAATAATACAAACTTCAAAAATGACTTTTAATAATACCAACTATTTGAATGTCAAACAAAAATGATATGGAGTCATTTTTTGACAAAAAGTCTAATCATTTAAGACATCAAAAGTTAATGACAACCCATCAAATAGATACATTCACTAATTAGATATTTTCATACAAGTTTTTGATGAGTTAAATGGTTGAATTTTTAGTAAAAAAATGCTACATATCACATTTGGCCTATATTTATATAGTTGCTATTATTTAAACTTGTTTTCAAAGCACGTATTATTTTTTGTTCACGGAAGATAGTTTGTATTATTTAAAGTAATTTTCTCTTAAAATAATACTCTTATTACACCGCTTAATGATATATTATTATTTTGAATTCCAAAATAACATTGCAATATCTTCAATTGGTGTAATTAACCTTAACAAACAAAAGACACAAACCACAATGATTCTCTTTTGTAGCTCGAATGGTACCATTTATGATCACGATGCCATTTGACCCTAAGTTAAATATAGAAATCGAAACTCGATGACTAAACGTCACATTTATCACTGATCTGAAGGAAATGCATTTTCTCAACATAATGAAATTTGCGCATCTCAATGATGACACGCTTTCATGCATGATAGTTTCATTTTGTTTCACGGAACAAAGCTTTTAAAGTTGAGATGTATCTGAAACCCCTAACATGGGAATATCCTATTGTGGTTCTACCATCTAGTGGTTCGTTTTGCATCTCCTCCACGATAGTCACATCTTCAATATTGGGTTCGTCCAAAATTTGTGATTTGTTGTTTACTTTATTAATATACTCCTCAGTTAAGTACTCAACCACAGCCTCCACCAATGTTGTTGAAGTTGAGACATTTTGATCAGCTTTAAGCATGTCCTTTTAATTGTGAGTTCGTAGTAGTTCTGGCCACATTATCATCACTATAAGATGTTTATCTTTTCTGGTCCTAAAACACTGTCACTTTGCATGGACGAATAAAAAACAACTAGAACAATAACCATGATGATCTTCATATATAACAGAATGAGTAAACTCTACCTTGACACATTTAGCTAAACTTTACTGGGCACCTCCTTTGCTAAATTAAGTTCAACAAGTACACAAGCTATAGAGGGTTGATATACCATAGAAATAGTTACATCAAGCTTTAACGGTTAACCTATCATCCCCAAAATGGAAAACAACACCTATTATTATTATGTATGCGAATGGGAATGCCATCAAAGTTATCCAAACAAGCACTACAGACGAAGCCAACATTAGGATTAAACTCACGAGTCTAGTGTATTGTTTATTTGTTTTCATAAAAACTTTGAATACACCGAGATTATCTCAACTAACATCGATCGTCAGGGTCTTCTTCAATATCAAACTCAATTAGAACATGCTTCGAGTTAAGGAGTTCAATAGAAAAATTTCAACAAAACTCCTATATTCATGAAAGCTTTTTCGATTACCACCAACGATGGCCTCCTATAGGCGAATGATTCAATGAGCGTATGCGTGTGTTTCGTGTGTTTTCCTTCAATTATTTTCACTTCTTCGATGGTAAACTCCACCACAGGCATGCCCCTATGTCAAAATCCCTTCTCAACTGGCATCTCATGACCGCCTTAAGGAATTGGATGGGGCAACGGCCCCCATCATCATCTCTTAGCCGGAAAATGGATTCTAGTATCTTTATACATGTAATATAGAGAAACAAATAAGAGATTATTACCTAAGTAGGACTATGGATGTTTTTACTTGGATTGTAATTTGTCCCAGACCAGACCAGACCAGTCCAGACCAGACCAAACCAGTTCAGACCAGACCAGACCAGACCAGACTTGGATAGTTATAAAAATACAAAGAAACCAGACCTTACCAGACCAGACCAGACCAGTTCAGACCAGACCAGACCAGCAAATTACAGTCCAAGTAAAAACATCCTAAATCATGATAAAAGTTCAAAAATAAGACTTAAACGATCCTTCATGATCCGTAGGAGTAAAAAGGACCTAGCTTGACATAAATGCCATTAATTAAAAGCTTGTTTCAATATTTTAAACAAAACAATAAAATAGACATTACACAATACATATCTACATACTACCGCATAGAAGTATAGAACCGAACCAGATCTGGTGTCAATATGCCACCATTTCCATTCTGACGCCGCCGCCTACCTCAACAGTCACCGCCGCCTCAACCACCTCCACCGCTCTCTGCTTGGTCTTCTATCGCCGCCACTCTCTAGTTGTGCTGCCGCCATAGCCTAAATTGCCACCACCGCTCTCAGGCAAGTTAGTCTATCATCGCCGCATTCTGTAACGCTGCCGCCGCCCTCCGGTGAGTGCTAATCTGGTGGAGCCGCCTGGTCTTCCATGCCACACTCTCAGGTTGTGCTGTCGCGATACTCAATTCTTCCAATGTAATGAAATATTTTGTATTGTCGTGTTAAAATAAAATGGCATTTTCGCACAAATAAATGACATCTTCTATATATATATATAATAACAAAATCTTGGCAATCCACTTTGGGCGGGAAAGATTGTACCAAGAAAAATGGAGGTGGGGTGGGGATGAGGGTGGGGTGAGATAAATGATTAAGTTTTTGGAAACCGAGGTGATTAATGAATGGGCAGGAAATGTTTGGCCCCTGACTTATCCCATATTAATGCTACGTATTATTTAATTTGATTTAATAATATAATAAAGTATTAGGCTTTTTTGGCAGAATAATAATAATATACGTAGTACGAAGTAGTAGTTAGTGAAGATAATTTGGTACCGACAACATAAATAGATAATTTGGTTAATTGTGCCATATACTATCGTACACAACTTGGTTAATTGTGCCATATACTAAAACGAAATATTTGATTAATTTTGATGTATTGTTTAAGCTAATACTCTGAACACATACATGAAGCTTAATAAGTACTGTATATACTTTGAAGATATTCCGTCTGTTCCAATTTAATTGTTCCGTTGCGGTTTGCGATGATTAACCAAAGATAAAGCAAATAAATCTCTATCAGCATTCGAATTATTTCTAACAACAAAAAATTGAAACAAGAGATTAATAGTGATTTGTATTGACCAAATAAATAGATAAATAGAAAATGTGAAGATCAAATTGAGATGGAGGTCAAGTTTAATAAATAGGAACAAATACGTAATGTTTTTAAGTGATTTGTTTTTTTCAAATAAAAATGATTTTTTATTTTCTTCTTTTGGAACTGGATTTTTTTCTCTTGATAACCGAAAAGGCTTTTTCAAACCACCAAAACTGTTTTAGATTAGCCTCATTTATTTATTTAAATTAGTACATGAGAATGGAAGAGTCGAGATTGTTATGGTGAACTAAAAAGGCAGCCTTGATATTGGCAAACTTCATTAATGAAAACATGGTGATCCATATCATACCAGTATAAATAACATATGCACATGCAAATGGTCAGACATAATTCCCTTGCATCGATCAAGTGCAGTGTTGAAGTCGATTTTGATTGTTCTTTCGCAGAGGTGACTCTATCTTACTACGTAGATTTTTCTTTTTCAGCTTTTGAAAAAATTGTTAAATTATTTGAAAGAATAAATTTTATGTGTTAAATTTCATACTAATTGCACTTACTAAAATTATTTTAATTTGAATGAAAGTGGAGATTGATTTTAGTTTTATCAGTTCAAACCATATACAGATAATAATATACGAAGTAATGTATATAGAATATGATTTCTTACGTGTATTAGTTGATGCAATATTATCATAAACAAATAATGCATCACTTTTATTTTTGCCGAAAACATTAACATTGGTGGTGGTCCAGTGGATTTGGAGAAGATTTTGGTGCTAACAGAAAAAAAAAGTGCAGAAAAAAATGATGCATTATTCTTATCAGACAACGAAGATATTACTAAAGTTTTGTAGATAAAATCATACATATGTAATATCTCATGCTATGGGTAACAATTAACTGTGATATGTTACAGATGTCGCCCACTTATGGGCTTGTGAAGGATATTACACCAAAGGACACCCATTGGGCATTGAGGTTGCGATTAGTTCGGATGTATGAAAATGTGAGTGATGAGGGAGCCGTTAGGGGTCTTGAATGTGTCTTCCATGATAGAGAGGTAACCAAAGACATACAAATATGTTTAAATTATTACAAAAATACATATCTAATATGTGTTATATTTATTGGATGCTGTTGTTTATAAATACTTAATAATTATTGGAAATACTTTAGGGACAGAGAATCCACGCCACCATCAAAAGCTTTCACACGCCACAATTTAAGGACGTCCTTAAAGAAGGTTTGTTGTATAAGATTCGGCATTTCATGGTAGCTACCGATGGAAAAGACTACAAGACCACTACCAACAAATATAAGATCATCTTTTTTAAGAAAACGGAAGTTTTTGAGTTTGAAGATGCAACGTTTCCTAATGAGGTTTATAAGTTCAGACAATTCGAGACAATATTGTCCACAAAGATCTTGAATGAGAAGGAAATGTTTGGTAAGCAACTCCTTTAGTTTATATGAAGATGGCGAATAAAATTAAAATTTTGTTTTACATTAATCATATGTCTTATGCAGATGTGATATGCATGGTTGTTGGCAAGTATGGTCTAAAGGAACTCACGTACAACAACCGTCCTCATAAGATTATGGAGATTGTTGTTTGTGATAATATGTACGTCAAACGTATATTAGATTAAAGAAACTTATTTGTTTGTTGATTATCCATTTGGTTATGCTAATAAATTTTTCCGTTTTTTAAAATCAAAGGATGAGACAACTACGATGCTCTTTATGGGATCAGTATGCCGACCAAATTTTACCATATATGGCAGACGTTTATCCTGGACCTGTTATATTGATATTACAATTCTGCCGGGCCAAAATGTTTCAAGGTTGTAAATGTGAAGTCATATCAGTGTGTGGGTGTGTACAGTCTAAACATTAGGTATAAATTATGTATTGTTATTATTGTACAGGTGAGCCGAAGTTGTGTAATTCTTTAAATATCACCAGGCTTATTGTGAACGGAGATGGTGTGGAATTCCAGAATTTTAAGGATAGGTTGGTAGTATACTACGTATATGTTTTCCGAAAGATAATAATAAGACCTTATATTTGTTTAAAATGTAATAACATTGTGTGACTTTTGGGCTTATATAGCATTGTTGATAGGACTGCTTTGTCACAAACAATTACCACTCTTTCGGCCACTTATAAACCGCCATTGAGTATCCTTGATGAACTAAATAGCTTGGTTATGCCTTTGAAAAAAATCGAGCATCTTTATGAGACTAAGGAGGTTTGTTCTAATTTTGCCAATTCAGTATTTGCCTTTTATATATGAATTTTGATCTTATTAAAATTAACTTATAATTTAATACTTTGTTTATTTCACAGGCGGGAAGTTTCTGGATCTATGCGAAAGTTGTTGAGATAGAAAATGAAAATGATTGGTGGTATCTTGCATGCAGTAGATGCTCCAAGAAGTTGGAAAAATCCCATGCCAATTTTTATTGTACAAAGTGTGCTAGGGTTTGTACCGAAGGTGTTACAAGGTAGGTTGTGAATTTTTATTTATAAGATTACTCCCCAGCCGAGACTGATATTTTCTAAATTGTAGATATAAGGTTGTTGTGCGTGTAGTTGACTCTACTGGGAACGCGCCCTTTCTTATTTTTGATCGTGTTGGACAAGAATTATTTGGAAGACAAGCAATAGACTGTAGAGACATGCTTATGAGTGTAAGTTCATTTGAAATTGATTTAGAGGAAATTATCACATACTTTTAAACTAATCAATTTTGAATTCATTAGAATGGCCGAAATGATAATTTTCTTCCGGTTGAGTTTGAAGCAATCATCGATGAGAATATTTTGTTCAAAGTACAAGTCAAAGAAGAACAAATTGGCAACTATAATTCCGCATTTGCAGTTTTGCGATTCACCAGAGATGCTTCAATTATTGACCAGTTCGTTTCGAATAAAAATGAGGACCACAAAGTATGTTCCGTTATTATTATTTTGTTTATGTCTACAATTTTGTTGATTCTCTAAAACATGTACATAATATATTTAAGCTTCTTTCATGTTTAGGAATCTGAGGCATTTTCCCAGCTCCAGAATGCTGCACTTTCGTGTGAAAAGGTATGACCAATTGTTTCACTTCGATGGATTTGAAAAAAAATATAATTTCAATCTCAATTTGTGTCACTAAATAATAATTTTTTGGAGCTTATATTAGATTTTTATAATTTGTGTGACAATTATTATGTATTTTCCAAAAAAAAAAAATCTGTTTTTTTAGGTTGAGTCTTTTTTGGATGATGAGATTTCAACTCCGATCAAGAGGAAGGACACTACTGAGACATCAAGCGATAATCAAGAATCCGTGAAAAGACGGCTACTTGGCGAGTTCTCTTCCAACGCTTCATCTAAGAAATCAAGGGTTGTGATAAAACAAGAGAAGTAGAAAGGCGGGATTTCAGGAAAAAAATGGAGATTTATTTTGCTTTTAAGATCTACATGATCTATGAAAGATGTTTTTGAAGACTATTTTAGCTTTATTTTGCGGATTATGTTTTAATTTCAAAACTCAAGATATTTTGCTATGTTTTTGCTTATGTATTGGATGCTATGCGCGGTTTCAGTTATATGGATGATATATGATTTTCTATCACTTTGATGTTTTGTATTTCTAACGTTTTCTCTAAATGTTGTTGAATATTTGTTTTTGATGTCGTGTAAATATGTCTAGAACATCTTACAAAATAAGTAATAAGAAAGGACGATATCTAAGTAAACGTGTATATTTATAATGTTAAGATAACCATTTAAAATTTCTGATCTATAAACGTATTCTTTGAAAGAAGGAAAAACTCATCAGCTGAAACCATATCATATATTGATAATAATAGTTTATAGAATATTAAACGAAGTATATATATAATGTTTTGTTACATTTAAATAATGCATCACCATAATCATAAAAAAAAATGCATCACTGGTATTTTTATCAGTTACCATAAACATTACTAAACTTTTGGTGCATTTATGATTTCGGTGTTTCCAGTAAAAAGGTTATGTGAGGCATGGGTCATGGGTGGAAGTCCCGTAGGTTTTAGTGGAGATTTCGGCTCTACCAGTAAAATTAATGCATCATTCTTATCAGCCGCCTAACATATTACTATTAGAAAAAAAGATTACTGTTTAGGAAAAAAGAATTGATTTTTTTGCTCAAAATAGGATAAAAAGTTTTTGTAGATAAAGTGATCTTACTGTTAGGTAGCTGATAAATTATTGAGATATATTTGATTAATTATTTTCATTTTTTTTATCGCGATTAATTATTTTCATTGAAACATGCACAGAAGATTTTTTTCATTAAGCATACAATACAATTAATATGTGCCGGCCAAATATATGACTAATCAAAAAACTGCTCTGTCCCACGATTAAAAGAAAGTTTTTGATTGTACAGGTTTCAAGATAATGTTATTCACATCTTTAATGATATGAGCTAATTATTAATGAGCTTTGTTGTGATGGGTTCTCTAATAGATTGTGCGCTACTTAATAGTACTACTCCGTATTATTCATTACGGATTTACGGGGCATTACTATGGAGAATAGTTCTCCAGTTATATCATGTTGGTTCACGAAAATAAAGAACTCATTATAAAGTTTAAGATAATTTTACAATTAAGTTTAGCAGTTTCTTTTTTACAATTAAGTTGAACACATAAGAAATTTTACGAAGTGATATAAGCTGTATCCAAAAAATATGTACTAAATAATAATAATAATAATACCTCCGGTTTTTTTAATCTTCACAGTTTGACTTCACACAAAATAAGAAAAGAAATTTGACTTTACTGTAGAGTACACTGCTGAGGCACTGTTTGACACTGTTTGGCACTGTAGAGACATTGTTTGGCACTGTTAAGACACTGTTTGGCACTGTTTTGATGTAAATTTCTTTGCCAAAAAAGAAAATAAGGAAGTGTGAAGTTTATTTTAGACCGTCCCAAAAAGGAAAGTGTGAAGTTTATTAAAAACCAGAGGGAGTAATATATAAAATAAGTACTAAAAAAGTATTAAAAACAACCAGTATCCAAGCAACGAAAAGTTACTCCCTTTGTCCCTATTATATTTTCCAGATAGGTTTGGCACACAGTTTAAGATAGTGGTTATTGTGAAGTGGAGATTTGTGCAGAGGAGGGAGAAATGTATAAGAATTGCTGTGAACCACAAATTCTGGCCAAAAAGGGAAAGTTGAAGTTTTAATTAGGACGGACGAAAAATGAAAGTTGGAAGTTTATTTAGGACGGAGAAAGTATTTTTTATTTTCTTTTTTTGGAACATTTTTTTTTCTCTTGAAAACTGATAAGGTTTTCCTAAGCCACATAAATATATTAATCATCACAGAGAATTGAAAACGTGCCATGTCAACACAATCATTTCAATAGTGAAGGTTGTAAAGTGGTGAATACCGAGACAATAATTTACAAGCTACATTGTTTAAATTATTTTAAATTAAACTCTGCATAGGAATTGAAAAGTCGAGATTGTTATGGTTAACTAAAAAGACAACCTTGATATTCACAACTTCATTAATGGAAACATGATAATCAATGTGATACCGGTATAATTCACATGCTAATCGCCCACAACACGTACACTAGCAAACGCTCACACACAATTCCCTTGCATCGATCAAGTGCAGTGTTGAAGTTTCTTATTAGTTTGTTCTTTCGCAGAGGTAACCATATACTCCATATCTTACTAAGTAGTTTTTTCTTCTTTAGTTTTTGAAAAATAAGGTAAACTACTTCAAATAGTAAATTTTATGCGCTAAATTATACGAAGTATACTAATTAAACTTATGAAAATTATTCTGAGGTTGCCTGTTTCAAGAAAGGCCGAAGTGAATAAAAATAATATTGTATGAGATATTATAATATGTTTTCCTTTGTAAACAGTTGCACTTTGACATAATTCTTGAAGGAAATATGTGAAGCCTGTTGAATCAATCCCAACAAAATGAGACAGATTACAAAAAGTGGAATAATTACTGGAAAACGAGCTTCACAAGAAGTTATCACTTCAGGTAATCTGAGTAATTTGATAATTATGTTAGTTTGTTACTATTTTAAATCAGTTTTGAAATATATACCAACTTGGTTTGCGTTATTCGTGTTTAACCTATATTATACCAGGGGCACTACACTACTTTGCATCATATTGAGTTTTATATTAGGGAATGTAATTTAAAAACATGAGAAAAAACATGTCCTGTGAATGTGAAAAAAAAACATGAACTTTCTAATTAGTTGAGTACAGTTCGAGTGTTCATGATTACAAGAATAAAGATATAAATTCCTCTAAATGAAAATACTCCGCCATGTTACTTATATTAGAAGTTCAAATTAGTTCAGCTCATTTTTAAATCATAGTCGTGCTTTAAACGTTATTCTTTTTTTATCTAATAAATCTGTACACATTCTATAATTATTTATTTGGTGATTTATCATACGAATTTAAATTTAATTTATAGGTCAAACTTCGAATGTGGTGTTCAAAAAGCGTAGAACGAGTATCACTCCTCTAAGCGATGTCACTAACGGTAATTGAAAATACTAAATGTCATTATATGCAACCACTTTACACCAAAATCAATGTGTTTTCGTTGTTTTAAATGTGCTTTGGATGATTTTTCAGAAAGTGTTCCATCGCCTTTGATCAAGCATAATGGACTCATAAGAACAAGTGATACACAATATACGTATGTTGGATATTCTTGGAATACAAGTGCCATTCAAACCTTAAGGATTCCTTCAACTGTGAACACTACTAACGGTAATTTACAGAAATAGTAGCCACTTATTATATACTATTTTAAATTTTCCTTTCATTATCTTAGATTTATTAATTATTTAATGATGTGTTTTCTATGCAGAAGAGTGTCATGATTTAATGGATGTAGTTGAGGAAAGTCCCTTAAGGGAAAACAGAATTGGCAAATTTGTTGGTAATTGTAATGGAGAAGTCGACGATTCAGGTATTTTATTAAATTCTCATTAATTTTGTTATTTGTTTTAATTTTAAATGAATTAGTTATTGCAAAAAAACTTTGTTAAAAATAGCATTATTTCTAATTGTGCATATATTTTGATAGATAAAGACGACGATAATGGATCAAAGAGTATTCCAAGTGGTATGTTGAGTTCATAATTATTCTAACTCTCTATTACTTTAAAAAAGAGCCTACGACACAACACTTATGTTTTTATAAATAATTTAATAGGTTATTTGGACTTTGGTGATCCTTCCTGCTCATGCCAATTTTGTGGTGCTTTATTTTGGTACAATGAAAGAGTAGAAAGCAACTACAAAGCACAAAATCCGACATATTCTGGATGTTGCATGCAAGGGAAGATTAAACTTCCATTTATGAAAAAGCCACCACCAATTCTTGAAAATTTGTTTCTTGGAAAAGATCCAATTAGCAAGCATTTTTTAGAACATATTCGGTCATATAATAGCATGTTCTCATTTACGTCAATGGGTGGAAAGATTGACTCAACTCCAAACAGTGGTAATGCACCTCCGATTTTTAAGCTACATGGTCAAAACTTTCATCTAATCGGAAGTTTATTACCTGCTGATTCTAAGGTGCCAAAATTTTCACAACTATACATATATGACACCGAGAACGAAGTAACTAATAGAATTAATTCTGTCAGGTAAGTTTGTTGCATGAGTTCAACAATAATTTTTTATTTTTACTTAGTGTCTTCTTTATAGTAATAGTGTCTAAATTAATACTTTCGTAGGGATAAAGACGAGTCTCATAATTTGCATACACGAGTTGTTGAGGATCTCAAGCAGACCCTTGATGAAAATAATGTCTTGGTTAAATCATTTAGAATAGCAGGCCAAAAAATACACAATGAGGGTTGTAAAGATTTTAAGTTACGGCTAATAGGAAGAAGATCGGGAGATCCAAGAACATACAACCTTCCTTCAGTGTCTGAAGTTGCTGCTTTGGTTGTTGGGGATTTTGATTTATCACTTGGAGAAAGAGATATTGTGGTGGAAACGTGTTCTGGACGGTTGCAGCGAATCAATGAATTGCATCCCTCATATTTGGCCCTGCAATATCCACTACTTTTTCCATACGGAGAGGATGGTTTTAGAGAAGACATACCCTTTTCTAATAAAAAGGGTGACCCATCTCGAGGGAGGCAAAAAATTAGTATAAGGGAGTTTATTGCATATCGATTGCATGAAAGATTATCCGAGTTTTCCACTTTTTTGCGTGCTAAGAGAGTTTTCCAGCAATTTGTTGTAGATTCATACACTTTAATTGAATCAAGTCGGTTAAGATATGTTCGCACACATCAAAAACAGTTGAGGTGTGAAATGTATAAAGGTTTGACAGATGCTTTATTACGTGGTGATATAAATCCAGCCACACAGGGAAAGCGGTTAGTTTTGCCATCTTCTTTCACAGGAGGAGCTAGATATATGATTCAAAACTATCAGGATGCAATGGCTATATGCAGATGCATAGGTTATCCGGATTTGTTCATAACTTTCACGTGTAACCCTAAATGGCCAGAGATTGTTAGGTTTGTTGAACAAAGAAACCTAAAGCCAGAAGATCGGCCAGATATCATTTGTAGAGTATTTAAAATGAAGCTTGATGCCCTTCTCAATGACTTTCGTTGCAAGAAAGTTTTTGGCACAGTTAAAGCAGGTATTTATAAACACAAATTTTTCATTATAGATAAATAAATATTTTCACTTTAATTTTTAAGCTCAACTTTATATTAACTTATTATCATCTTTTGTAGTCATATACACTGTTGAGTTCCAGAAGCGTGGATTGCCTCATGCCCATATATTACTATTCTTGGACAAAAGCGAAAAAATTGTAACAACAGATCATATAGACTCCATCATATCAGCAGAGATTCCGTGTAAAAGAAGTGATCCTGAGTACTACAATGCAGTGAAAGAGTACATGATGCATGGTCCGTGTGGAGATGATAGGAAAAACTCCCCTTGCATGGTCGATGGTCATTGTTCAAAACATTTTCCAAAAAGGTTTGTTGATCAAACTACAGTGGATGATGATGGCTATCCAGTTTATAGGCGAAGACATGATGAGAGAGTGATACAAAAAAATGGTGCACTTCTAGACAACCGCTATGTTGTTCCACATAATAGATATTTGTTGCTCAAATACGCCGCACATATGAACGTGGAGTGGTGTAATCAGTCCAGGTCTATCAAGTATTTATTTAAATACGTGAATAAGGGCAATGATCGAGTGACGGCGACTTTTTACCAAAGTGGCAACGGAGAAGTCAATAACAATGTTGACGAGGTTAACATGTACTATGATTGCAGATATGTCTCCCCGTGTGAAGCTGTATGGAGGTCATTGGGTTATGAGATCCAATATAGAAGCATTCCAGTGGAGAGATTAAGCTTCCATCTACCAAATCAGCAAAACGTTTATTTCAATGATTCCGATCCAATAGATGAAGTTCTTCAACGAGAGACAGTGAAAGAAAGTATGTTTCTTGCATGGTTTAGAGCAAACCAAGTTTACCCTGAAGCAAGAGAGTTAACCTACGTAGAAATGCCAATGAAATTTGTGTGGAAACAATCTACAAGGGAATGGGTGCCTAGGAAGAAAGGGTTTGCAATCGGAAGGATGTTTTATGTGCCTCCTGGATGCGGTGACTTATTTTACCTTAGGTGTCTTCTTAATGTTGTGCGGGGTCCAATGTGTTTCAAAGACATCCTGAAGATAGATGGTGTACAATATTATTCTTATCGTGATGCCTGGTATGCACTTGGATTACTAAAGGATGATAAAGAGTACATTGATGCAATCGTTGAGGCAAGTTATTGGGCAACTCCACGCTCTTTACGTAGATTGTTTGTTGCGCTTTTGGTAGCTGATTGTTTGACTAGGCCAGAAGAAGTTTGGAATAAGTGTTGGACTTATTTGTCTGATGACATCCTTTATAACCAACGCTTGATGCTCAATCATCCAGGTAATTTTCCCCCTTTTTAAGTTAAAATATTGTTTCTAGAATGTTTTGCTAATTATGATGATGATTGTTTTTATTTGTAGGACTAATTTTGAGTGAGGATGAAATAAAAAATTACACTTTGTGGGAACTTCAAAACATGTTGCGAAGTCGTGGGAGGAGTTTAGATGAATATGATTCGATGCCGATGCCAGATGCTCAATTCTTACCCAACAATAGAAATCGATTGTTGTTTGATGAACTAAATTATGATCGACATTTGTTGGTTGAGGAACACAAGAAATTACTCAAAAGTCTTACTGCTGAACAGAGCATTGTTTATAACATCATAGTGGAGGCAATTAATTCAGACAAAGGTGGTGTATTCTTTGTTTATGGACACGGAGGAACGGGGAAAACCTTCGTATGGAAAACTCTTTCAGCAGCTTTACGATCTAAAGGCGAGATTGTCTTAAACGTAGCATCCAGTGGTATCGCATCACTTCTTTTACCTGGTGGACGAACGGCACATTCTCGATTCAAAATACCAATCAATCCAACTGAAGATTCCACGTGCAATATCAGGCAAGGAAGTGCTTTAGCTGAGCTTATAATTAAAAGTAAGCTTATAATTTGGGATGAAGCTCCAATGGTTCACAAACATTGCTTTGAGGCTTTAGATCGCACCCTTCGTGATATAATGCGCTTCACAAACCCAATGAGTTTAGATATACCATTTGGTGGAAAGACAGTAGTGTTTGGGGGAGATTTCAGGCAAATTCTTCCTGTTATACCAAAAGCAACCAGACAAGATATAGTAAATGCGACCATAAATTCTTCCTATTTGTGGGAATTTGTCAAGGTCTTGAGGTTGACTCAAAATATGAGGCTCCTTCATCGAGAACTTCGTGAAGCACCCGAGGATTTAATCTCTTTTATTAAGTGGATCACTGATGTTGGTGATGGTATTATTGGGGGTATAAATGATGGTTGTGCAGAGATAGAAATTCCTGAGGATCTATTGGTGAAAGGGTATGATGATCCAATTGCATCAATTGTGGAAAGCACTTATCCTGAATATGCAAGCATGGGTGCCGATCCCAGTTATTTAGAAAAAAGAGCGATTTTAGCACCGACACTTGATGTTGTTGATAATGTCAACGAATATATGCTTAGATTGAATGGTGCTGAGTTGAGAACGTATCTTAGTTCAGATAATGCATGTCCATCTGATGCAAATCTTGATTTTTTGGCTGACATTCATACTCCTGAATTTTTGAATGGAATAAAGGCATCCGGTGTTCCAAATCATAAATTACTTCTCAAAGTTGGGACACCAGTTATGTTGATGAGAAACATTGACCACTCAATGGGTTTATGCAATGGAACAAGAATGGTGATTACAAGACTTGGCAATCATATTTTGGAAGCAAAAGTTCTAACAGGCATAAGTGCAGGTGAAAAGGTATTAATACCAAGAATGTCTTTGACTCCCTCAGATGTCAGATTGCCTTTCAAGTTTCAGAGACGCCAATATCCTTTAATTGTGTCATATGCTATGACCATTAACAAAAGTCAAGGGCAATCATTATCCAATGTTGGTCTGTTTTTGCAAAAACCTGTTTTCAGTCATGGCCAGTTATATGTTGCTCTTTCACGTGTTACCGATCGCACTGGGTTGAAAATCCTCATACGTGACAAGGATGATAAAGACACTAATGTAACAAAAAATGTTGTATATAAGGAAGTGTTTCAGAATTTGAAATAAATTTAATATTTCACATGTTTAATGATATTTTTTACTTAATTAAATTTATCTTTGATTAGTTTTTATACATTGGAATTGCATACCCCGTGCATCGCACGGGTATTATACTAGTTTATATATATATAAAACATGTCATTATCACACAAAGTATGACACTGTCACACAAAAAGTATGGCACTATCACACCAAAAAATGGCATTATCGAATTGAATATTTTGACACTGTTACGTGAAATTTTGAAATTTATCCATGAAATAATAATTTTATTTTAAAATTGAAAATGTAAATTATGAAAATATGAAAGCAAAAAACAGGGCCTTGATAAAAATAATGTCAAAGTAATTTTTAAATCTAGATAAACTTTATACGTAGTGTCATAAGGGTGGAATAACTTTCAAATCAGTTTTCGAAATGAACATTGATTATAAAATTATCAGATTTAAATTGATTCATTTGAAATTAAATTTAGAATAAAATAATTACAATAAATAGATAACTTCAAATTCATTTCCAATTTTTTCGATCACCGAACATTTATATTTTAAAAACAATTGAATCTGAAATAGCATTTCTAATTTAGAATTTCGAAATAAATAGAATAATTAATAGAAAATAAGAAGAAGAATAGAAGGAATAAGAAGAAGCAAAGGAAAAGTGCCAGACAGAAAGAGGAGAAGACAAATCTTTTAATTCATAGAGAAGACTTGATCAAAATAGGAGAATATGAAATCTCCATGCAAAATGAAAGAAGGCGTAGGTTTGGTAAGGTGAGAAACTGGGAGACGTGGGGATGGGAGAAAGAAGGAAACATGATGGGAGGAGGAAGATGGGCTGACAGATAGACGTGATGGGAGGCGAAGGTAAAGAAAGAAGAAAGAGAGTGTAGAAAAGAAAGGGAGTCGGTGTGCAGGCACGAAAGAAAGAAATAGGGAAAGTTGGTGATGCGGTGCAGTGTATGTTTAAAATATCAAAAGGGTAAGATAGGTATAAAATTAAAAAAACATCCTATTTCGGGAATAAAAAACATAAGGTCCAATTCTTGCATTAGTCTTATATTTTAGTCCTATTTAGATCAATTAATTAACAAATAAATGACATATATGTATGTAGGTATACATGCGTATTAGGGTTTACGTTTTCAAACGGGGGTAGGGTGGGTATATATAATACATACCCTATCCGATCCCTTTTAACCCTTTTAATCCCACAATGCCATGCTTTAGATCTCAAAGTGCCATAACATGTCAATGTTATTGTGAGGATGGCAACAACACGAGAGATAAGAAAGAGTACCATAGGATGTGATGGTTGCGGTGTAGATCCAGCTCGCAACGGCCATGGCAGAAGGGATGATGCCAAAGAAAAGGCGACAGCGGTGGTTGCAGAGGTGGCAGCTGGTGGTGGCTGGTAGTTGAAGAGCCTCCAGCGACGATGGTAGTTGTAGAGGCGGCATACGACGGTGGAATTGAAGAGTCGCTAATGACGGTGACAGGTCTGGCGGCCAGTGGATGAAGAGACGACGACGACAAGGACAATGGATACATATGAGATGACTGACGGTAGAGAAGGCGCACCATTGTGCCCTAGGTTGTCTTCCCTGTCTTGTACCGCTTCATTTGTATTCGTTGACTCCGTATTACTCCGTATTATATAGTTTTAAATTAAAGAAATTAAATGTTTCATTAAGTTTAGATCTTTCAGATTTTATGTTTTAGCTCTTACGGAACTCCTAGGTCTTTTTTATTCACTATTCTAATGTTTTACTCGTAGTTAGATAATTACCTCGTTTTCTTTTGGACTATTTTTGGGAAAAAATCGAGAAAAATTCGAAAAACATCTGACTGTTAGTTTTACGTATCCTGTATGATATTTTCTTTTGGATTGTTTTTCAGTTCCAAATCAGACCAGACTTAAACAAATTAGACCCGATTAGATAAGATCTAGAGAGATCAAACCAAACCGGACCAGACTTGGACAATTATAAAATACACACAAACCAAACATTTACTTGACTAGGCCAGTTGAGACCAGACCAAACTTAAATAGATAAAACGTGATCAACTAAGGGTCTGTTTGGAAGCCGTTGGAAGGGCTGAAAAGCCTGATTTTGCTGGGATTAAGCATGTTTTCTTTCTATTTACATTCACGTATTTACTAGATACAGCCACACATAATTAAAGTATTTTATAATTCCTAATATACCCTAATCTAACATCTCATCGTCTCCACAGTCGGATATCTTTCCAAATGGTAGAAAACAAAGCTTATTCACAGTCGCATAATTCAGGTTGCCAATCCACAGTCGCATATCATACTCCGCAATAACAAAGCTTATACGCTACATTTCCTTGTTGCTAACTCCAGATCTGATGTTGAATTGTTCATACATTTGTACATTTGTTGGAGATTCTTAGCATTTTCATTGCAGCGATGGATGAATTGGAGTCGGGGAATAAGACTGATGTCTCCCAGTGGTAGAGTATCATTGGATTCATTGCAATGGATTTCTCCGGCAAGAGTTTCTACGGGAAAGATTTAAGATATATGTGTGTGTTTTAATTATTGATTTAGACAACGAAAGTGATGCAATAATTCATAGCATTTAGACCACGGGAGGATGCAAGTGAGCATAGTATCTACGGTAGGTAATTTTCTCTGGATTAAACTTCCTAGCCAAAGCCATCAAAGATGGTTCGATTATCCCTACACGAAGCTGCTTTCAATTAAAAATCGATAATCACTAATCCGGCGGAATTCTTCTTACCTTGAATCTTAGCCTTGACATGGTCAATAGACATTAGTATCACTAATTAAACTCGACCAGCCTCAAGAATGATTTTCTCTCATCAAGATTTTAGTGATACTATGCTTCGAATGGTAGTTAGGGAGAACATGAAAATTATGGAGTAGTCACGAAGTATATGACTCCAAGGGTAATTTGGATATTTATATTACTTTTATTTATTACTACTTCCGGTTTTTATTAAACTTCACACTTTGACTTCACACAAAATAAGAAAAGAAATTTGACTTTACTGTAGTGTACACTGTTAAGGCACTGTTTGACACTGTTGAGACACTGTTTGGCACTGTTGAGACACTGTTTGACACTGTTTTGATGTAGATTTCTTTGCCAAAAAAGGAAATAAGGAAGTGTGAAGTTTATTTTAGACCACCCCAAAAAGAAAAATGTGAAGTTTAATAAAAATCTATGTTTAAAAAACCGACCCGACCCGGCCGGGTTGACCCGGAACCCGGTGACCCGGACAAAATTCCGGTTCGGTTTCTTCAAAACCCGAAAATGGTCAAAAACCGGAAAAACCCGGCTGACCCGAAAAAATCCGATCCAGACCCAACTCAAGAAACCCGAAAAACCCGAGAAAACCCGGTTTTCGGTCTTTTCCAAAAAAAAAGTAATTTCTTTTTTAATTTTAATGCATTTTTTAAACCAATAAAATTGCAATTTCAATTCCCTAAAAAGAAAAACTATGTAATATATTTATATATTTATTTAAGAATGAAAATCATGCCAAATTATAATATACATGCACAATACAAATAAAAATATATAATGAGAGTGTATATAATTATATGTTTATTATTATTATATAGACGTATAATCGTTGACCGGTTTTCCGGCTTTGACCGGGTTGACCCTCCGGGTCCGGGTTGACCGTGACCCAGTCACATGACCGGGTCGCTCACCGGTCCGGTTTTTACAACATAGATAAAAATCGGATGGAGTAATAATTAAATTAGTGTCTGTGTATAGCAATTTTGTGTGGCTGTCGATAGAATTTTGGGCCAACAGCCGGTTAAAGCCCATTCAGTATTTGCATTCGCCCAAACAGCGCCACTCCGATCCTCCGTTTCTGAAAGCAGAATGGCCGGAATTCGGAGGCGCAATGAGATATGAGACTAATTTCAGCATTAGCCCACCACATCCCCTTCTTCCATTCACAAAACACTTCTCACATTTCACCCATCCCAGCGCTTCACCAGGCCGTCATAAGATTCAAGCACTCCAACCCGTCACTGTCTCACTGCTCCTGCGTTCTGTCCCGGAGGTTTCGCTGCGGAACCAGTATGGCGGACTTCGAGGCACCTCCTCCTCCGGTTCACGTGAAAGACCGAATCGATTTGACGGCCAAGGAGGAGCAGATTTTTGACCGCCTCCTGCAGGTCGTGCGCCACTTCAATCTCCAGACGCAGCTCCGGGTCGCTGGCGGATGGGTTCGTGATAAGGTGTGGACTGTTACTCTTGATACAGCTCCGTGTAGAATTTTACCGACTTAAATGGCTGATTTTTTGTCGTTTTGATTTTTATATTAAAAAACTTGGCTTTTTATATTAAAAAAATTGTTTTTTATCAATATTTTATTTTATACATAAAATTGGTTGATTCGTGATAGCCTATCCAAAATCTTGTATTCATGTTAGTCTACCCAAAGTACTAACTACTAAGGGCTTGGAGTTTTCTTTTTCTCCTACCCAAAACCCTGGATTTGTGTTAGCCTTCCCAAAATACTAAAGGCTTGGATGTTGTTGTTGATTTTTTATATAGAAATGAAATCTGAATGCACGCAAAGCTTTTCGATGTATTCATTTTCCTTTTTTCAAGTGTAACTCAGAAAATGAACAGTCGACACAATTTAATTCTGAAATATCAATGCCTGGAGTCCCTCTTCCCGCTTTTTTAAACATAGCAGTGCAATGTGTTTTCCCGAATTTTATGTAAATATTGTAATCTCATTTGTAGTGCATTCTGACTTATTGATTTTTCTCTCTCCGTTTGTAAGCTTAGATTCTCTGTTGAAGGTGTCTCTTGATTAGTCTTCTTCTTCTTCTTCTTCTTCTAGACATTTCCCATGAAGTTATTGGCATGCTTTCACTTTTTAATTTTGTTTGATCATAATCCTGCAAAGACTTAATTACTCTACATACCATTGTTTGATCAGAATTCTGTAAGGCCTGAGTTCTTCTGCCGATATTTTTTCTTTCATAACTCAATAAAGCCTGAATAGAATTTTCATTTTAAGTCATTTAAACTCCTTGTAGCACCCGTTCTATATGGGCCATTTTCCATGAAACCATTGGTTTGGCCTGAAAAAATGAAGTTGAATATATTTTCCTTGCCTATGACTTTCATGACTCGAAGTCCTAGCAGTAGCTTTTGGATTTTTCATATGAGCTTTATATTAATTTTTTAAACTTTCTCCTTACTTTACTTGAGACAATGTATTTATGACGCAGCTTCTTGGTAAAGAATGCTGTGATATCGATATTGCGCTTGACAACATGCTGGGAAGAGAGTTCTGTGAGAAGGTCAATGAGTACTTATCATTATCAGGACAAGAAACTCAAGGAGTTGGAGTCATCCAGTGGTATTACTTTTTAATAATCAGGACCGTCTAATAATTTGAGGCCCTGCTCTAAATTACATATTGAGGCCCCACATTACCAGAAAAAAACATAAAATTACATAATTAAGCATTAAAATGTATAGTGAAAAATTAAAACATCATTAAAATCAAAGTCCTTGTTTTGTACAGATTTTAAAATCAATTGACTGACAAGCGACAATTTTAGTATACTTTTCAGATTTCACACCATAAAATTTAAGTAAAATTAGTAAACACATTGATCTATACGATTAATGTAACAAACAAATAAGTTTCAGCTCTGAGTCATATAACTAAGAGTCAGAGGGTGGATAAGGGGAGAACTGTCTTGGCGTTTGGCCTTCTAAGAGAGAGAGAGAGAGAGGGAGAGACGAGAGCCCGAGAGTGAAAAATGTGCTAAGAAGTCGTATGATCATGTGGAGAGGACTCAAGAGTTCATCACTGGTAAGTTTCTTTAGGCTTTAGACATTTATTGTGCAGTGCAAGAGGGGTTTCAATTAAGACAAGAACTCATGATATGGGGATTTGGAGGAAGATTTGAAATGATTCATGAAGAGGATGGTAGGATTTCTATTGAACAATTTGACGAAGTGATTCATGAAGAGAGAGGGTTAAAAAGTTGGTTTGGCAGTTGTGCGAATAGGAGTCCTTGATCTGATGTACTCTGTATTATGTATACCTATGACTAATATATTTTCTGTATTATGTAATTCTGTATATATTATACTAATACAATTATTTGTTTAAAATGGGGCCGCCATGATTAGTGAGGCCCTGTCATGTTAAACCTATTTAACATGCTATTCAACAGCCCTTTATAATTATAATAAAAGATCACACAGACCTATTAGACCTTGTACTTCTGTAAGTTTGTTTATGAAATATGAATTATGACCATAGTGTGAAGATTGTGAACTATAGTCTTTTCGCTTGTACGGTTTGAAACTGGTAATCCTGCTTCATTTGCGAAGTAATTTAATACTAAAACTTGCACCGCATTACAAATTAACCGACTTTATGTGAACTTAAGATATTAATTTGATTTTCTATATTTTTCTGTTTCATGCTTATCTCTGGGAATAAGTTGAACTTGTACATTATTACAAGTTAACCAACATTCTTTTGAACATAAGACATTTATCTGTTTTACTTCATTTTTTTAAGTCTCAGGCTTATGGTTCTCTCGGTTAGTGGTGATGGATACATTTAATCTATTTTATCTTGATTTTTAGCTTGGGCGGTCTGAGCTCTACATTTGTTTAATTTTTACAGAACGATTTACACTTTTTGTAAACTTTCAAGGATAAAATGGGAATTTTGTTGACCATAGAGGACCAATATCTCATTTTCTAGATGCTGAACAATGAAGCTAATATATATATATATATATATATATATATATTTTGTGGCAAATTTCGTCCCTCTTTAGCCCAGTGGAGGCATTGGTTCCTAGTTATGTTACTTATGTACTATATTTTTTAATATCACAGCAATCCTGATCAGTCAAAACACTTGGAAACAGCAAGGATGCGTCTTTGTGATGTATGGATTGATTTTGTTAACTTGCGAGCAGAAGATTACAGTGAAAATAGTCGTATTCCAACAATGGTAAGTACACTTAGGGCGTGGTTCATTGCATAAAAATTCCATAATGTGATAGCTACACATAAAGGACTTGGTTTATTTTGTTTCACTGCCGATTGCACAAAAAAGTTAACTTACAGCAATGGACAGTACATTAATTAGGCTAGATAATAAGACTATAAATATTGAATGTTTAGGTCACAGACTCACATTCAAATTACATTCTAGGATTATGCTATTATTTATGGTTATGGTGTACTCAGAGTCTGCTTTAAATTGCTGGATGAGTGTGGAATAGATGAAGCTGTTTAGGTAATAAACAAATAAATGATAGATCTTGTACACTAGCATTCTTGGTAATTTTTCATATGTTAAATCGCTATAATTGTTAATGTCTGTTTCATAGTTCTCTACTTTATTTAATGCATAGAGATTTGGCACCGCAAAAGAGGATGCTTATCGCAGGGACTTGACCATTAACAGGTGCACCTGTCTTTAATCCCAGTAAATAGTTTTGTTTGACTTTCTTCCATTAAATAAATGTTGAGTGCAATTATGTAGTATATATGCATGCGTTTTGTCTGGCATGATTGTCTCCAGAAAATATCTCACTGATTCTTATTTTCCTTAAACAGCCTCTTTTACAATATTAACTTGAGTTCTGTTGAAGATTATACTGGAGAAGGTATATGCACGTTTCTTATGAACAATGTTGGTTGAGTCAGGTTGTCAATATGTATCTCCAAAAAGTTTAGTTGCATTTATCATTCTTATTTTATCTAATTCAGGTATTACCGATCTCAAGTCAGGCAGAATTATGACCCCACTGCCTCCTAAACAAACTTTTTTGGATGATCCATTAAGAGTTCTTCGAGCTATTCGTTTCGGTGAGTAGCAGCTAATTGTTCCCTGCCTCCTATCTTCAAGTGGAAGTAAAGTTGGATTCCTGTTAACCATTCCTTGTTATACTGTGGAAGTCTTGTTTGCACTGTATTTTTTATTTACTGCTGAGTGCTGACAATAAGTGGTTATTTAGGTGCAAGGTTTGAATTTAAGCTAGATGAAGAGCTTAAGAAAGCTGCTTCAGATGATGATGTCAAGGCTGCCATTGCAGATAAGATTAGCAGAGAACGCATTGGCCATGAGGTGTGCAACAATTGTGTTTCCATGTTTGTTATCACGTGCCTGCTTAGTTTTATAAGTCTACTCATATTTCAACCCTGGATTGCTTCAGTGTTTGAGCCTTAATGCAGTGTTAGCTATTAGTCTTTTACTCTTATGTAGAACGTCTTTATTATTTTACTATACTTTATCTGGTCTATGTTTATTTACACAATTATTTATGTTTACTTGTTATCTTACAGACCGATCTCATGATATCTGGCAATCAACCATTGAAAGCAATTAAATATGTGGCTGACCTCCAATTATTTTGGGCTGTATTTAGTCTTCCTGCTGATTTCGAGCCTCCAATCCCAGAGAGTTGTGACAAGTATCTTAATTAACTCATAACATTTTTTAGAAGTTGTATTTTTGTATTTATTGAAGTTATCATTCAAGATCGTGAATCTTTTGAAATGACTAACTTCCCTGTAAAATAATTCTACCTAACTTTCCAACTCACTTGTAACAAACAGAAAATGTTATGTCATATGTGTCTAATCGCGTTTCCCTTTAATTAATAAAAAAGCTAAGCTATCAGGTAAGTGGAAGAGTATTTGCATTCAGAATTTTCTCTAGCATCGGATGCTTTGTTACCCCTGATTATATTGATTTTTAAATCCCACAACCTTGATATTCTAGTTTACGCAAGGACTTCTATATGGAATCTGCTATAATCTCCAGGGAACCTAATGATGTATGTGTGGAGCATTTTAAAAAATCAACAGAGTTGTGATTCTTGATGAATGTTATTCATCATTTCATTACTGGATTATATTTGTATTTTCTTACAAATCTCCAGGGAACCTAATGATGTATGTGTGGAGCATTTAAAAAAATCAACAGAGTTGTGATTCTTGATGAATGTTATTCATTATTTCATTACTGGATTATATGTGTATTTCCTTACAAATCACCTTTTCTAAGTTGCCTAATTCCAGTTTCTGCGATTTATTTTATTTATAGAATGAAAAACAGCTTTGACTACGGAGTTTAATTTATATTTTAGGCTGTGTGTTGCGTGCATGGATCTAGCATTCAGACTTCTGCGTTTAATTGGATGCTCTTTGACGGTAAGTATCTGCATGACTGCATTTATAGATTTTTTTTCCTTTGCTGCCCTTTGGCCGTAACTAGCAGATGATTTTCCTTGAGTTCATCACTGCCATGAACTCATGAGTCAAATCTGTCATAAAGTTAGTTCAAGAAGGGTTTCATTGTCATTGTATGAAAAATTGTCTCATTGTTTATCAACATGGGTTAATAAATCGTGGTGGTGCACCCAATCAAGCTCCTAAGCGCCTTACAAGAAGGTAAAAAAACCATTGGAGTATCAATGATCAGATTTAGGTTCTCTTTTTACAGTATATAGATAGTCATGGGGTGTCTGTCTTTTTTGTTGATATGACTGCAGCCTGCAGATCATTTTGATTCCATGTTATGTAATCATTGTTTAGATTTGTTTTTATACTTTTCTTTGTTTTTAGGATGACCAACGGAGGATTTACTTATATGCTGCTTTGTTTCTGCCGTTTAGGAATACTAAATACAAAGACAATAAAGCTAAAAAGGTGAAGTAATTGCATGTCTTTTTCCCATTGCACTCAGTCTTGACTAAATTTATTTATTCTTTGCTACCATTTTTAGCAGCTAATGTTCATTTACTACAAGAAGACCACTGACGTAAAATTTTGTTTCCTGATTTATACCCACAAACATGCTATTAGTAAACATGTTCTAAAAACATAGTTAAGTTTCTTGTTTGCTTAATACCTGTTTTGTCCTTCGGTTTGAGATGAATATTTACGGTGTACATGTGAACAGATTGCAGTTGTGAGTTATATCTTCAAAAATTCTCTTAAGCTGAAATCCAGTGATTCTGAAACAGTAAGTTGCAATAATTGCATTATTATTTCCACAATACTTGGCACAACTTTTTACTCCTTGACACTTGCCCCAAATATCATTACTTGAGAAAAGTGACTGTAATTTAATTGTTAGTTAAAAATATGGAATGTTTGCAGGTCTTGAGCTTACATAGCGCGACAAAAAAACTTGTATCACTGATTCCGTACATTACATCTGAAGATACAGAAATTATTGAAGTGGATTGGAAAAAAGAAACTATTGATGTTCCTGTTACTTTGAAGTGTAGAGTACTTATTGGTAAGAATAGCTGTTACTCTTCCCATGCAGGGTTGGTCTTGTATATTAATGCTTTTTGGCTGTATCTGCTTCACTGCTTGTATACTGTCAATCCATCTTCATATTCAGTTTTTTTTTTCAATGACAGGTTTGGTGCTCCGTGAAGTTAAAGAATTTTGGCGCGTTTCCCTCGCTCTCTCCATGCTATTATACCCTACCGATCTGGAAATAGATGACAGTTGTGAGATGGAGAAGAGAAGGGAGTTATTTAAGACAGTTGAGAGCACCATTCTCAATCTAGGTATTATTAATGATCCCATGCTCTTCTCGTGTCCTTTGAGCTCTGGGTTTAGATTGTAGTCATTCTGAATAACTTCTATGGTCTGTCTGGAACCCTGAAAATACAAGGCAAACCAAATAGCAAGGAGAACATGGTAGAAAATTGGAAGGAAAGATATGTGGAAAAATAAAACATAAGCCAAGGGTCAATTATTATAGACCTTTTTCTTTTCATTTTAGTTACTAATGTGTAAATATATAAAGTCTAATGTCTATTGCATAAACTGACTAGTGATATGTGATTCCTTGAATTTCTTTTGATCCACAGGGCTAGACAGGGTCTGGGAAGTTAAGCCACTGGTGAATGGGAAGGAAATCATGAATATTTTGGAGATTAAAACTGGAGGACCAGTTGTAAAAGAATGGGTAGGACATTTTACAATCTTGCTGTACTATTATTATTCCGCTCTTTATTTATTTATTTTATTTTATTTTATTTTATTTTATTTTTCCAGTGACTAGCTAATGGCCTTCATTTTTTTCGTTTTTAGCAACAAAAGTTGCTCGAGTGGCAACTTGCCTATCCTAGTGGGACAGCAGAGGAATGCATTGATTGGATGAAAGAGGCCAAATCGAAACGTACTAAGAGGGAGTAGTTCGAAATGGCATACTCTCATGACGGATGAGTCCTTTTGCCTGAACAATTTTTATGTCTAGTACTAGTATGCACAGTCAACTAACCCTAAAGACAAGTGTCATCTGTAATCGATGAGAAATGCCCTCCCTAGTTCAGTTTTGGTAGTTCTCCTTTTCCAAAGCATTTTCTTTGTATTTGTAAATGACTGAGTGACTGACTAATGTCACTAGTTTTACTACTATTAGGCTATTTAGCCTATTAGGCCTACAATCAGTTTTCCAACAACTGATTGTGTTTGTAGTGACCAGTATGTCCATTATTTTTTAGTTTTCTAAATGAAGTAATCACAATTACAAAATCGTTTGTAGAGTGATGACATAAATAGTGGGCCTCCAATCAGGCAAGCCTAGGGGTGGACCGGGCCGGGCTTGGATGTTTTTGGGTAAGGCCCGGGACCGGACCGGAAGTCTACTGGTTCCGGGCCGGGTTGGTTCCGATTTTTTTTGTTTTCTTATTTATTCCAACCCCCACCCCCGAAACCCCTCGGAAACACCCAGCCAAGCCCATATAAACCCATCCCAAACCCAAAAAAACAAAAAAAAAAGCCCGAATTGGGTGGGCCGGTTTGCATTTTAGGAGTCCCGGAACTGTCCCCGGTTACTCCCTCGGGTCGGGCCTAAGCCCGGTACCGGTACCGGTCACCTGGGCCGGGTTGGTCCCGCACAGTAGCGGGTCGGGCTGGTCGGACCGGACCGCCTCCATGCCTAGGCAAGCCTGGTTAAATACAGACTTAGCTTGTAGATAGGACATCATGCCTAGAAAGAGAAACGGTCAACGCGCTTAGATCATCTTCAATGCTCTTAGTCCATAATCATTGCATGTGAAGTGGGATACATTTGGTCTAGGTCTATTTAGAAAAGTAGATTCGGTATTATTAAAAAAGAGATGGTCCATTAAACACTCCTCCAATGCGGGGCATTTAAAGTAAATTAAAAGACAACAAAAAAAAAGAATAGAAAACAAATAATAAAGTAAAGGAGAGGCTCTCCATGCATAAAGGCCCACCCTTTTCTCCCCCCAGTTAGGTAAGAGGGTGGTACCTACATTGACTTAATGCTAGACTACGGTTTGATTTAGTAAATGACACATCACTTACGGTGGCACCTACATGGACTGATGGACTTAGTGCTAGACTACAATTTGATTTAGTAAATGATACATCACCTACACAGTGTCTATTGTTTTTATATTGGAGTAGACAATTTCATTCAATAAGTGCATTTGGTGAGGTGGAATCACAACTATTGGAGATGCCCTAAAGATGAGAAATATAGAGCTACCACTATAGAGATGACACATTGAGCATGACGGATACTATGGTACTACCTCTATAAGGGCATCTAGACATGGCACGTCAAGCATGATATGGCTCTACTTCTACAAGGAGATAGCATACTAAGCATGTCATGGTTTTATCGCTAAAAAGAACATGGCACACTTGAGCATGCATGACTTGATCCTACCTCTACAATAACATGATACACTGACTCACTGAGCAAGACATGATGCTATCTCTACAAGAACACAACATGCTACTACCTTTGCTTGGCATGGCGTCGCTACGACACTTCCGGTAGGGTACGCCAACACCTTTCTGTTAGACATACACAATGTTGCTTCGAGGAAGTTGCATGACCAATGATGAATCTCGCGAATCACGTGATAATTCACACCAGTCCCACAAATCACGGAACAATAGCACGTTCATTAAGGTATGGTGACCACATTGTCTTAATAATTCTTGTTTTATTTTATATTATAAATCTATATGTAACTCATGGAAGAAAAGATCAAACACAATATATCTAATACATTTATCTCTAAATATTATATTGATTGCTTTTAACTATTTTCAGCTACCTCTTATTATTTTCCAATGGGTTATTAGTTCCATCAGAGAGTTTTTTAAAATTTTTATTTTTAAATTTAGCATGATTTTAGAAGTAATAGGCAAACATACATGCACACATTAATTATTATGAAGCATTATTAATCGAACTATTATGAAAAGTAACAACCCAATATACCTAAGTAATTGGCTAGGACCCTAGGACGGAGGGGAGTAATGAACATTAACTAATTTTTGTTGGCATAAACGTAACGTAACTCATATTTTCCCTCAATGCTAGATATACGTTTAACCTACTTTAATTTCTGATTCATTACATAACTTCAATTAGTGACTTAAATTCTCAACTCAAAATTAATAAATACCTCATCTTCTTAGTCCCATTTACATAAAGTTTATCTCTGTTTGACAAAACCAGAAAGCCAAATAAATAAGACACTGAAATCATGCCACGCCCTATAGCTTTCACTCCTTTTTTTTTCAGCCTACTAGTGATTACTTTAAGTGCAACAATAGCTATTGTTTCATCCTTAGATTATTCAAAACCATATATTGTTCTCACTGAAAAGCCTGATGAAAATCCTCAAACTCACTATATTAAAATGTTGACCTCTCTTTTTGGCAGGTACGCAAGTATATGGTGTGTAAATATGCATCCACAGTCTAATACTTTCTACTATTTCAAAAATCAAAATAAGTCGCTCTAAATAGGAGTACAATTGTACAAATTAAACGATGTGATTTCCCTAAACATGAGTGTTATTTCAATTCTATGTTTTTTTTTATTAAAACAGAATAATTATTCACATCCTAAAACGACACTATCATGTTATTGCTGGGTAATGCAATAATAGAGTTTTTGTTATTTTTTGTCCCTCGACTATTGTGTTAGTGACACTTTGATAATCGACTTTTAATTTTTTCATTTTTAGTCCTCGACTATTATGCAAAAGACACTTTTAGTCATCGACTTCAAAGTTTCCCGCATTTAGTCCCCTGAGTATTACCAAATCAACACTTTTAGTCATTCAACTATGCTTTTGACAAAATTAGTGGACTAAAAATGTCACTATTATAATAGTTGAAAGACAAAAATATCAATTTTATGAAAGTCGAAGGATTAAATATGGAAATTTTCATAGACATGTACTACAGCGGTCTCTAGCACAATAGTTGATGACTAAAAGTGGAAAAAATTAAAGTCGAGTGCCAAAAGTGTCAATGACATAATAGTCGGAGGACTAAAAGTGATAGAAACTCTGCAATAATATGATAGCATGATTTCAAAATAGCACTGTTCTTGCTTCTATTTTAGGAATTCTCACTTTTGTTAATTATTTTCACTTGGCTAACAAATGTGTGTTAAATGTGTTTCAAGTGAGATTGAAGCAAAGAAGTCGTTACTTTACGTTTATGAGTATGCTACACAAGGATTTGTAGCTATACTCACTCCTGAAGAGGCATCTCGTCTCTCTAGTAAGGCTTATTTTATTTTAGACATTGCACAAATCGATTCTTTCCACCTTATCATTGGTTTAGATTAGTCTAATATTTGATTTTACATCCCTTACCTATTTTATGCTGGTAGAAAGCTGTGCGGTAGGGATCCAGGAACACCTTACCTATTTATTAGAAAGTTAAAGCAAAAAAAATAAAGAGTAGAATGATCAAATCAAAGTCTACTCGAAAGCAAACACCAAAAAGGAGAACTGAAGAACTAAGGATAGAAATGAATGGGAAAATAGGCAGGGTGTTCCCCGGCCCTCGAGTAGAGAGACAAATGGAGAAAACGTTTCGAGTAGGCTTTGATTTGACTCTTCTACTCGAATTGTTTTCTTAATTAAAATTTGTAATCACTTTCAAAAAAAAAAATTAAAATTTGTAATCACTAAATGAGTATAATATTTGAGCAGCTATTGTTTTTTATTTATTATAACTTGTAATCACGTAATAAATGTACAAAACACGTACTTAATACGGAGTAATATTTTTACAGACTTTAATTTAATTTGGGCATTACTTAATATTAAATACTTTTAACATCAATCAATATAATACTTTAACTTTATAAAAGTATTTTGCTTTTCAAGTGAATGACTGAATGTAATAAAGAATATGTGTGTTACGCCTTTTCACGTAAGGAATGCCATGCTACGTATTTCATTACTCCGTACGTATTATTATTAATATTTAATAGGACGTATTTTTTTTGAATTATATTTAATAGCACGTAATTGAAATTTCATTTTGACTGAATCTAGTTGGGGAAATTTAGTTGAATTTATATTTCGCAGAATATCCTGGTGTGCTATCAGTAGCCGAAGACCAACTTGTGGCATACAGCCCATCCAATGAAGTCAAGGATGACACATCATCCCAGATTTAGCACTTGAAAGATATCAAGAAAATACTATAATGAATTATCCTGGTGTATACGTCAATTTACACGCCCGTTCTTTTCATCTGTACTTAGACAATTATTTTTCATTTTTTTAAAAAAATTATGTGCGATTTCGAAAAAATTTAGTGTGTGACACATAATTCACTTCTGAAGGCAACAGACAATTTTTCTTACAAAAATGAAAAAGTATTTGTCATCATGTGTTTATATAGAATGTTTCGAATACATAATACAGGCAATAAATTCGAAACAATGTGGGCATTATCATTGTTGGAAAAAAAAATCTTATCTCATCGCAATAGGAATTGATTGACTAATTCTACTGAAATTTATGAAGTTTCGTTGGAGTGATTGGATTGACTGATTTAGTTTATTTATGAAAAAAATTACATTTAAAATATATTCTGTATATTAATAATAAAATAATGAAAAATTTATATGAAAAAAAATAATCTAAAATTGACCTCTACAGCAATTCAGCTAGAAATAATGAGTATCAACCTTACTTATTTTGATTGTTAATAGGTCAACACGTGAAATCAAAAGTTACGTGTTTGATGAAAAAGTTAATCTATAAAGCCGATAAATCGAGAAACAGGGTCATCAATCGTTGTTCCTAGTGTCTCATTGATGATATGATTTGCAAAGAGGGTTGTATAAAAGTTACATGTTTGATGAAAAAATTGATCTACAAAAGCTCTTATTTAAAACTTCGTATTTTTATAAATAGATAAAAAAATCACAAGGTGAGCTTACGATGACAATATTTATTTCACGAGTTGCTAGAGAAACATTCCTTTTGGAGGATGGGAAAAGGGGCAAATAAGCCCTCGAACTTACCAAAAAAGTGCGAATAAGCCCTTTTATAGGATGCTTTGTCCGGCCGTCGCCATTTGAGGCGGTTCCCAGTGAAATATTTTGATGAATTTTTTTTAACATCATCTTCATTAAGTCTAGTTTACCCATACCAAATTTCAACTAAAAGTTCAACTGGAAAGGCAGTCAAATAAATGTTTGAAGATAACTGAGCAGTTAAACAGTGCATTATAATTCAGAAAATCATTTGGTTGCCTTCCCGGTTAAATTTTTAGCTAAAATTTGGTATGGGTAAACTATACTTGGTGAAGAAGATGCTCAAAAAAATTCATAAAAAAACTCTACCTGGAACCGCCCCAAATGGCGACGACCGGACAGAACTTCGTATAAAAGGGCTTATTTGCACTTTTTCGGTTAGTTCGAGGGCTTATTTGCACCTTTTCCCTTTGGAGGATTATGTTTGAACGCAGGAGCACTTTAATTATCAACACTTGACTCTAGTTGCTAGGGCCATCTTGGGCTAGTCAGGTTGGGCCCATATTAGGTTTTCCATTGTAAATTGTTTTTTTCATTGGGAAATTCTATATACAACCCCATATTTACTAAGTACAGCCACACATATTTTACTGTTCCTAATATACCCTTACACCATATCACACCTACGGTGTATCATCATCGGCTTTTCACTATCCAGTAAACCATTCATATCACCATCCACTATCAACGTAACTCATTGCCTCTTACCATCCACTATAAACTCGTTGCCTCTTTTTGATTATCCCATATCAAATCATTAAAATTGATAAACATTTCAATTTAATAACAGAGGCGGCCATGAGATAATAAATTGAGAAAATCTCAAGAAAGAGATAAACATAACCCATATTTCCATCCAAGGAAAACGGAGGTAGCGACTCAATCGGGCGACGGCCGGCGACGGCCGGCGAGAAAATGGCCGGAAACTACCAGGATCGAGGGACGTAGGGATTGGGGAGCTCTGGAGACTTTTGGGACGGACGATGAATACTTTGGTGCGGCAGCTGGAAATAAGGGTGATGGATAACTGACGACTACTCAAGCCAGCGATGGATGTAAGGACCCAGAAAGTAGCTCTGAATAGAGAAGCAACGACGAAGGAGAAGAGTGCAGACAAATTTGGGAATTTTCCAGCGAAGGCTCTTACACTGGCGTGGCTTCACCAGGAGACCCCTGCGATGACGAGATTGCTGGTGAGTTTCCTTGAAGCCGCCCAATTCTTCATCGGATGAATCACTGATTTTTTTTTGAACGGGATGAGTCACTGAGTTGTTCAATAACGATGAAGACAAGTTGAGCATCACTACAAGGAAATACATTTGGAGGAATACAGTGTTAAATAAAAGGGTATATTAAGAACTGTAAAATAATTGTGGCTGTAGTTAGTAAATAAGGGGCTGCATATAGAATTACCCTTTTTCATTTTCCCTGTATTCTTTAAACTTCACTTATCCTTTTACTTTTTTATTAATAAAATTGGTAAATGTTCCCCGACATTTACCACACCTTTCCAGGTGCATTTCGAAAAAAAAAAGATAAAAAAATCACAAGTGTATGAGAGAATCTAATGCTCCAGACTTCCACAAAGTTAGAGTCTTACAGAAGCGAGCGATGAGTATATAAGATTTTGGGCTTCAGTGTAACCTTTACCTATATATTCACTTGTATACTTTGGCACCCATTTAAATAACATTATTATGAGGTTAGCTATTTGGAAGTTATATTCACTTGTATACTTTGGCACCCATTTAAATAACATTATTATGAGGTTAGCTATTTGGAAGTTAAGGATTCATTTCAATCTTTTTCATTCTATGTCTCATCTCATTGTAATTTTAGACTATACGTGTATCTTTGTTATCATTTAATGATCGAATAAATTGGTTATGTGAATTCACAAAAAGACTTCGGGCTAAACTAATTAATGAACGAGATTCAATATTTTAGTACAATTTGGTTTACTTTTTTTACGGCCATGCACTATTAGATTTTTTGTATTGAACTATAAGGAAAAGGTCAATTCAGTATATCAACTTGTATGAAGGGAAGTAAAGAATATACTATATTGCATTTGATATTTGCTAGATTAATACTCGGTATGTTAATATATATGGTCAAATCGGCTAACAACATGACGAGTAAGAAGGGGTAGTCGATCAAGATCATGACAATTCGACCTTCAAAAGTCGACATGCAGGGTGCATTGATCAAGAGGAAGTCGACCAGCGGGGGACTGACCTAGATTAAGCGGAAGTTGACCAAGGGGATGGTGCTAACTTTTACGAAGTAAATCTGTTATATTCTTTCAGCTAACTCAACCGTATTGACGTGTTAATCTAACGAATGCATTCAATTGGTACTAAAAATTCAAGTTTATATTATAAAAAATGTCAGGTGCGAGTTTATGTACTCCATCTTATGCGAGTTGATGTATTGAAGTCACTCTTATCCAGGGGCGTACCCAGGAAATTCATCTTGAGAGGGCGGTAGTTTAAACAAAAAAATTTCTTTAGGGGGCGAAAATTATTTTTCGTATATATATACACTAAAAAAATTTTGTTGGAAGGGCGGTAGCCCCTGGGTCTGTACTACGTTCCGCCCCTGCTCTTATCTCATTTATTAATGGGAAAATAACTTTAAATAATACAAACTATCTTTCGTGAACCAAGAATAATACGTACTTTGAAAATAAGTTTTAATAATACCAACTATATAAATATAGACCAAAAGAAATGTAGAGCATATTTTTACTAAAAATTCAACTATTTAACTCATCAAAAACTTGTATGAAAATATCTAATTAGTGAATATATTTCCAAATATCATTTATTTCATGGCTTGACATTAGCTTTTGATATCTTAAATGATCGGTTTGTTGTCAAAAAAATGAGTCCATATCATTTTTGTTTGACATTCAAATAGTTGGTATGATTAAAAGTCATTTTCGAAGTTTGTATTATTATTGGTTCATGGATGATAGTTTGTATTATTTAAAGTTATTTTTCCTTTATTAATTAAACAAACCTCAAGTTATCTTTTTTTTTTTATTATATCGGATTGGATTTAAAAAATCCCGAGTATAAATATGGCTAACCCATTCCCTGACAAGTGGCAAGACAGCAAAATGGTGGCTTGCAGCTGCTCTTTTCCTTGCTTCACAGTTTCAACCAGCAAGCCGATTTCTTCCTTTTCTCCTCCTCTTCAGCTACGCCTCACTGCGCCTTCAGTCGCAAAGCTCACTACTCTGAATTTGGATCAAATCACACTCCGGCAGCCTCGGCAAAGCAGAGCTTCAAAACAAAACATTCCCAGTTTCTCGGTATGCAAGTACAGGACCGGCGTCCGATTCTCTGCTTAGTGGTTCAGTGCTATTTAAATTGATTCTGTCATTAACTTTATTCCGTCTGAAATTATATGATCGAAAAGGTTGTTGCATCGGAGAGCAAGGCGGAACCCTTGAGGATCATGATATCCGGGGCTCCGGCTTCCGGGAAAGGCACCCAATGTGAGCTCATTTCCAAAAAAGTAAATGATATTTTTTATTTTCTCTTCATTCGATTTAATTCCTGAATGTTTCCAGTAAATGTATGTGGTGTGGGGTAGTTTGGAACGATGTTTACACAGATTATTGGGTAGAGGTTTAGATTTTTGCAGGAAGAGGCATTGAAATTGGCAATGGGTTTGGGTGTGAATGATTCCTATGGTCTGTTTGAAGAAATATTTTTGTTTAGATTTAGCCGGCCAAATTACCAATGATCATGCCATTGTATGTTTCATCCTTAAGTTAAAGGGACACAATTGAATGTACCACTATATTTTGCCAGATGTACTGTAACAATAATACTTCTTTTCATGATTATATGGCTAATTGGATTTCCTCTCTACGTGATTGTCTTTAATGTGTGCTTCTGCCCTTGCAGTACGGTTTGGTGCACATTTCCGCTGGAGATTTACTACGGGCTGAAATTTCTGCTGGGACTGAAAATGGGACGCGAGCAAAGGAATACATGGAGAAAGGGCAATTGGTTCCTGATGAAGTAGTTGTAATGGTATATTAAATATCTTTCACATATTGTTCTTGATCTTGTCCATAACTCCATATCTTATTGTTGGTGGTTTTTTTTATTTAAATATTTTTTTATTGGATCAGATGGTCAAAGAGCGTCTTATGCAACCAGATTCTCAAGAGAAGGGTTGGCTCTTGGATGGATACCCTCGTAGCTTATCTCAAGCAATAGCTCTTAAAGAATTTGGTTTCCAACCAGATCTCTTCATTGTTTTGGAAGTGAGGTTCTACCAATAACTGCTATCATTCATTTACCTCAAAGATGATTCAATAATAACATTACATATATGATTTAATATTTGATGTGAGTTTTTATATCATATGCAAATTGTTGTTACCAAATCAATTTTAAGCTAATATCTTTTATGTGGAAATAGTTAGCATGGACTTGATGTGAGAAAAAGTTTTGCATTTACAGGTGCAAGAAGAAGTACTTGTTGACAGAGTGATAGGCCGCAGGTTGGATCCAGTAACTGGGAAGATATACCATCTGAAGTATGCTCCACCAGAGACCGATGAGGTTGCAGCAAGGCTTACTCAACGGTTTGATGACACAGAAGACAAGGTATGGTTAGTTTGCATGTGTCTAACCTCTTTTAATTAAGTGGGGTGGAGGGGAATTAACAATCAGGTCTTGAGTTGTTGGAGTTAGCTAGAATACTACTGACACTAGAGCTTCAGATATGTTATTAAATTGATCGGCAGTTCTTGATTTTACCAAAATAGTTTGCCTTGGGAATATGGTTAGAGTAAGGCTCAATCAAGATGTTTATTAGAGATCTTTAGTTATGTTTTCATAATGGTAAATTAAAATGCACCAAGGGGATACAGCCCAAAGATAAAGCAACAACAGAAAAGGAGCACCGCGTGCCTATACAAGTTCGAATCAACATAAGTCACTCAACAAAAGAGAGTGATCAGAATACTAATGATACTCCTCATGTAGTCAAATACGGAGTAAAAGTCTTTGTACAGAAAATTCTTTAATTTATCTATGATCATCTGAGTTCTGACTCCATAAAAGTACCAATCCCTCTCTTTATACTTAGTAGTTTCTTTGGCATATGATGATCAACTATATTTGAAAAACACACAACAAAATGGAATTGGCGGTGCTGTGCTGCCTCAGGTGTCGTTTGCCTGCTTAATTGATCAATCATTGTGTTTGTTAAACCCATTTGTTTATATGTTTCATTGTTTCCATCTTATATCTGTCGCTGATGCATCTTTCTGGGTTGGCTGATAAGTGTTTTTTAGAGATCACACATTATAATATCAAGATTGTCTTCAAGATTCTCAAAATCAAACACATATTTAGCTCTTTTTAATCCAATTGATTTTTCAGGTGAAGTTGCGTTTACAGACACACAATCAGAACGTACATTCAGTACTTTCATTGTATGAAGATATCACTTTGAAGGTATGTATCCCTCATTTTCACTGTGATGTCATTTTGTTAAGGAGAGAACCTAGTGTGCTGCTTGAATCATTCCGGATAATCTGGAAGAGAAACTCAAGATTATATGGAGTAGAAAATAAATTTTGGAAACCAGACGAAGTTATATGCGGTTATGTTGATATTTTTCAGAATTAACATTATTAAAATAAGCGTGAGTTGTATACGTTTATTAGGAAAAACACATTATGTAAGTTTTGAAGTATATAACCCACCAGACACTGGCAACTTTACCGAATGGACGTAAACTTTCCGCATGGATACATTAGTGCCGCACTGCCGCCGTCACTGATCACATTGATGGCTTGCAGTATGGAAACTTGTCCCTGGCTGTAGTAAGTACAGTCATGTACATTCACTTTTGATTCAAAGTTCCAAACAAAATGAGCTTTAGTACAGTTCTGTCATGTGGATATGCAACAGAGTTTATCAAAGATTTTATGTTACGGAGTAATTAAAAAACGGGCTACTCCAACAATAAAGTTGCTCCTTTGAGCTTGTATACATTATAGGTTGATGGAAGTGTATCCAAGGTGGAGGTGTTTGCTCTTATTGATAATGCTTTGACAAAGCTCGTCGAACAAAAACAATCTACACCGGGATCTTTGGTGGCATAAATCACAAAAAAACCTAAATGATGAATGAGTGGCAGAGGTCGTGACTGGGGTGTTTTGGGGATTCGTGGTTCACCGACATTGCTGATTGTACATTTGTACCATTGCAGTTTTTTTACCAATGCATGTTTGATGTTCCCATTATGTATACATATGAGAAAAATAATTAGCTTCTTATTTACTCTTTCTGAAATGTAAGAGAAATCCTATGTTTTTGGAATTTTCTGTTATTTTTTTAAATCCTCTAAAAAAATGCGAGCTACTTCTTTTGATGAAGACATAACCAACCATTCTTTCGTGTAATTAATCATAGAAATGATATTTAATCAGATTAGTCAATGAAAAGAGGCAGCCCAAAAATCAATTAGGTTTGCTGATTATATCAGCACACAAGCTAAATAACTTTTACACAAACATTTTAAACCTAGGCATGGACCGGGCCGGGCTCCGGGCTGGTCCTGGGTGGGCTTTTTGAGTTTGGCTTCTGGCCTGGAACTGGCTCGGGTTTTCACCGGGTTCGGGCCAGTCCCCGGGTTTCTTCATTTTTTTTTGCTTTTCTAATGAACCCCCGACCCCCCCACCCCCAAACCCCCCCCCCCCCAAAACACCTAGCCCAACCCGGGAAAAAAACTGAAAAAAAGGCCCGAACCGGGTCCGGCCTGACCGGTTCCTATTTTGGGTGATCCGAGACCGACCTGTATAACCCCCGGGCCGGGCCTACCCGGCCGGGCCACCAGGCCGGTTCCAAACAGTGCCGGTCCAGGCCACGGGCCGGTCGGCCCGGAACCGGTCCACCACTATTTAAACCTGATTACAAAACAAAGTATCATCCCAGACCATGCATTAGACATGGAGTCAGCGTCGGTTCCATACTTCCATGCCTAGATGCACTCATGCATTATCTAAACAAATTGCCTGGCTAGACATACAATTACGGGGTGTTCACAATGTGGACAAAATATGTGTACCAACAGCATTTGTGATTTTTCTAACTACTAGAAAAGTGAAATCGAACAAGAGATATGTGAACCTGATGACAAGTACTGCAGAGTACATTTTAACAACAATTAGTTTTGCAGTAGTAAACTTCAAGTTACGCAACAATTCATGGTGCTATATGTGTTGATGGAAAGACCTAGCAATTATCTTAATTTCTATGGAGAGTAGACATGAAAAAAACTGACAACTAAAGTCAACAAAGATTAACAACTTGGCAAAGTGCACTTTTTCTGAGAATGTCCTAACATATGGCAGCGACCACATTGAACAACTCTCTTTGGGCGTTTCAGACTTTCCAACCGGAGAACCTTCTTTTTTGGCCTGCCTGGCGGCCTTCGAGTTTTGGGTGGCCTAATCATCAAATCAACTTTAACTAACCCACCTTCCACTCCTCCAGTGTCTTCGTTCCATAGGCTTCTGTCAGGGACAGGATATATCATCTGAGAATAAGTCTCACGATAGCTGTGCACAGTGAAGCAAGATTCTACAAAAAGATGAGCATCCTGTCCACAAGAGATAAGTGCTGCAGTCGCATGTGCACATGGGATGCCATATAACTGCCAACGGCGGCATGAACACACTCTACTCCGTATGTCCACTATATTTGTCCTCTCTGATGAAACAATCTCAAACTCAATCTCATTCGCTCGAAGCACTTTATAGCAACGGGCATCCACTATAGCTTCCGCAATCCGTTTCTCCGCGGAAGGAACAAGAATTGAAGTCCATCTCATTCCCTTATTCCTCCGTTCACCAAACCATGAAACCATTTCTTGCCTTATGTGTTCCATCATTTGGACAATTGGAAGCTCATGACACACTTGAACCCAATTATACAATACCTCTGTCACTCCCAATGAGAAATGACTGTAACGTACCCCTTCAAAGAAGGCAACTGCCCAAAGCTGGGGGTTGAAGTGGTGAAACCAAGCAAGGACATCTTGTGAAATCTCCACCATCTCTGTTACCTTGCTCTCAAACTCAGAGGCCGTGAGTGCATACACGGCGTTCCAGAATATGTTGACCAGCTTTGAGTTCTTAAAAGTGTCCCTAAAGTTCTCGCTGATGTAACGCAAGCAAAAGCCGTGAAATGCACTCGGGAAATGGGTCCCAACCGCCTCTACCAAACTGGCCGTTCTTTCAGAGAGTATCGTGAGTCTTGGCGGCATGCTTTCCGTGTTCACCCCCAGAAGCTTCCGGAGCTCTGACGTAAACCACATCCAGTTCTCATCACTCTCCACATCAACAACAGCTATCGCCAATGGGAAGAGTGTATCATCAGCATCAACAGCTGCGGCACATAGCAGTGTGCCTAAATACTTTCCTTTGAGATGTGCTCTATCAAGCTCCAAAAGCGGACGACAAGAGTTAACAAACCCATAGATTGCTGCTCTGTAGGAAATGAAAAGCCGCTGGAAGCTATTATCATGGTCTGTAGTGAACACAGAAGCAACACTTCCAGGGTTTGTCTTCCTAATCTGTAGTGGCAGAGCCAGAAATGTTGTATTAGGGATTGGAGCTAGAATCATTATCATATCAGAAGAAGAAATTATTTATACCCCTCTGCCCCAAAATTATCTTCATACTTTCATTTTCATATCAGTCCCAAAATTAAAATCCATTATCCTTTATAAAGGTTCATACTAATTCTCTCTCCTTTGAACAACTCTCGACCACACAATTAACACTCTAATCTACTTGAAAAGTCAAGTGGAATTAATATTGGGAGAGCGGTAAATATTTTCACATAAGTATACACTAGACATAAATTGAGGGGGATGGGGCTAACCTGTTCGCAATATGGAGGGAGAAGCCTATAGCCTTCTTCGAATGTGCCATGTAAAGCAGCCATGCTTCGTTCCTTCCCTCGCCATGCTTGCATGTATGACACGGCAACACCATGCTGGTTTCGTATGTCCTGCAAAATCTCATTTGGTTTGTATTGTGGATTATCCCTCACTCGTGCTTCAACAGACCGAGCTACCCAGCCGACTGAAGCTTGTTGATGGTGAAGATTATGAACGCCTTCACATGTGTGGTCACTGTGAAGGGTTCTGACAGTGAATGTGTGAACTCCAGGACACTTTGCCACATGGATGCGCCATGGACACCCCTCTTTGGAGCACTTGGCTATAAACCTACTCCTATCTGACTTCACTATCCTCATTTCAAAATGTGAAGCTATTGCAATGTCTTTCAAAGCCCTTCTACAGGTATTCACATCTGGAAATTCTTGTCCGATCATTAAAGGCTGCTCTACTAATGAACCATTTGAGTTATTAGGTACAATATCCAAAATATGATCATCATCCAAACTGGGCAATACTGCTACATCTCCACCATCTATCACTGTAGTTGGTAATAATGCCTGATCATCTATCACTGTTAATGCTAACAATTCTTGATCATCCATAACTTGAGCTGTTTATCTATTCAAAAGTCTAAGTTAAATAGGTCCCTTTCCCCCAATCTCTTAGGGAGTGTAAAAACCATCCATTAAGTGTCAAGTGATCGAAACAGGCATCTCTACAAAATCCGAAAACACAGAAATGGATATAATTAAAAACTACTAGTAGAAAATTGTAACATAAGACGTCCATATCAACCCATTGCAGCATTCATCACAAACATAAGCGCCAAGCATATATAAAGCATGCAGGTAGAAACATTGATTATACAGAATTGAATGGAGCTCAGTTGATATACATTAAACCAGTCAAACGCGATGGTTGAGCTTACTAACACAAAAGCGGGTTCAAATGGCATAATCCGTTTTAGAGAAAGCTCTGGTTTTGCAGCGCCACAAAGATCTACAAGCCAAAAAATGGGGAGCGATAGTAGCTGAACTGAAAACGAAACGTTAAATCATACAAAAATGGATGTTCTGGGAGAGAAGGATAAAGCCCGGTGTGTGGCGACGAGGATGATTGCAGGATGGGAACAGTCTACGGGTGTAAATACGGTGATTTTGAAGGGCAATTAGAGAACCCTAGGTGAAATCCGGAAGAAAGAGAGGGATTGGAGAAAGGCCTCGACACGATATTTGCCATCGAGCCAGAAGCTGAGAATGACTCAGCTACCCTTTCATTTTTAGTTTCTTAAGAAATACTCCATATCAAATTAATTGACCCGCTTTCCCTTTTGAGACGTATCAAATTAAATGTCTCATTTCCTTTTTTGGAAATAAACTCACCCAAAAAGCAGGTACAGTACTGCTACAGTACTGCTACAGTACCAAAAACCTCCTACTTTACATATATTTGCCTTAAACTACGTGAAAAGGCACACGGGTCAATTAATTTGATACGGAGGGAGTACGAGAGTAACTATTGAGTTTTTTCCGGAATAATACTACTCCCTCTATCCCCTAAAGAAGTTTCATTTCGCTTATCTAGAGTCAACTTAAATCATTCTTAAACTCTTGCTTTTTATATCAAAATTTTATAAAAGTTGAATTATTTTTTGTAGGCTTTGTAGCGGGTTTAATGTAGTTTCTGAATATGTAAATTTTATTTACTAAAAATAATCCGAGTTTTCACAGAGATCATTTAACTTTATCGTCGGTCAACCTTCGTAATCTGCAATTGGAACAACATTTAGGGACGGAGGGAGTAATAAGGATGTTTTTACCGGTTTGGTCTGGTCTAATCTGAACTGGTCTGATCTGGTCTGATAATGTCCGAGTTCTTTGTTTTTTTATAACTATCCAAATCTGGTCTGGTCTGGTCTGAATTGGTCTGGTCTGGTCTGGGACAAATTACAGTCAAAGTAAAAACATCCTAATACTAATTCAAAATGTATATGCATTAAAAATAATTTTTAAAATATTCTTGGAGTTAACCGCAGTAAAGAAAAGTCGCCATTTGAAGTGCCGGTTCTAGTATGCAATACAAAAACCGTCACTTGAAGTGACAGTTCTTCTATACAGTATTAAACCCACCACTTCAAGTGGCAGCTTTTCTGCGTAGCAAATTTCACAACAACTTAATCAACAAAAACAAAAACCTGCTCTTTATAGTCAATACAGATCGCTACAAATCAAAACTTATACGAGAAGCAAAATGAATCAATGGTGTTAGGAATTAAACTCACGCACACGAAGAACAATTAAAGAACACATGAAATTTGGTGACCCAGTTCGCCACGAATGACTACGTCTGGGGGCGCTACCAAGCCAGGAATATTATTGCTATTTTTGGATCCACATGGATTACAAAGGGAGAGAGCTTGTATTTATAGAGAGTAAAACCTACCCCTAATCCAACTAGGAGGCTCGGTAAAAAAAAATACGTATGGCCCAATTGTACGGAATGCGTATGGCCCAACTGCACGGAATTGTACAGAAAACTTGTTCGTAAAAAACGGACCAATTTTTTTTGGATAAATCTTGGTTATACAGTCTCTAACATTTTACAAATGGAACTACATTAGATAACAATACTAGAAATATCACATAAAGTTAATAATAAAACTAGTGTTTCAGAGAATAATTCAATTAGCTAGTTAAATTCGAGACTATTGCACATTTGCAGTTTTGCACCCTCAACGGTATACGGTAAAGTAAGTTTTGGGTTGAAAAAAAACCCTAACGCCGCCATGGGGTGGGGTCGCTGCCCATGCATGATCGATGCTCGATGCTGCTTCTACGGTGTTGCTGGAAGGCCGGGCGCACGTAAGTCCTTGTAATTTTTGTTATTCTGAAGGTGGAACTCGTTTCGGTCCCAGGTCTTGTCCTGAAGTTTGGTCTCCCTCATTGTGGGGAAGTATTCTGTCCTCACCGGTGCAAACCTGATCGGGTGCGTTGTTTGTGTTCCAAATTTAAGTGGACATGGGTTGCGTTAGTTAGAATTGCCGGGGGCTAGGAAATCTTGCCACGGTCTAGGTCTTGGCGGATATTATCTCGACTCACCGCCCTTCCATTGCCTTCCTTATGGAGACGCTGGTAGATTCTCCCAAGATGGAAAATGTTCGGAAAACGTTGGGCTTCCATTATTTGTTCACGGTAGACTGTGTGGGACGGAGTGGGGGCTTAGCAATCTTGTGGAGGGATGATACCGAACTCAAGATTGAAAGTCGCTCCAGGAACTATATTGATATGCAAGTTACAGGAGGCATGCATCATAAGCCGTGGAGGCTTACTGGGTTTTATGGTTTCCCGGACAGTGATCGGCGAAGGGATTCTTGGGAGCTCCCAAAAAACTTGGCACATCATAGCGATCTTCCGTGGTTGGTGGTAAGAGACTTCAATGATATTATGCATGCTCATGAGAAACGAGGGCGATGCCCTACACCTCCGTGAATGACGTCGGGTTTCTGAGATGCGGTTTGGGGCAGAGGGCTAATTGATTTTCCGTTCGATGGCTACCAGTTTACCTGGGAGAGGGGAAGAGGAACACTAGCTTGGGTGGAAGTGAAGTTGGACCGTATTTTGGCATCAGATAGTTGTATTAATATGTTTGATGATGCTTGGGCCACGTCGGTTGTTAGTAGCAATAACGATCATTTACCGCAATTTGTGAAGTTTTCTAAACGTAATCCAAGTCAGAAAAGGAGGAGTTTTAAATTCGAGAACCTCTGGCTAAGGGAAAAGGAGTGCCGCAACATTGTTGAAAGAGCTTGGGGCTGTTGTTACACGCAACCTTTGCATGATAGGCTCCGGTTTTATGGGGAAGAATTGGATAAATGGGGAAGACAATTGCACCGAGGCTTTCAACGGCGAATTGAGGGCTGTAAGAGGAAAATGGAGGAGCTTCGGGGGAGGCCTGATGCCGCGAGTTTGGCTGCTTTTGCTAAAACAAAGGAGCATTATTTGCTTTTATTAGAAAAGCAGAATGATTTTCGGAGGCAGCGAGCGAAGGAATTTTGGTTACAACAAGGAGAAATCAACACAAAATTTTTTCACAACTCGGTCAAGTAACAACGTAGAAGGAATGAGATGAAGGGTCTTTGGGCTGACTCGGGCGAGTGGGTTTCTGAACAAGGAGCTTTGCGGGAGCTAGTGTCAGATTATTTCGACTGCATATACACACGAGGCGAGGTTATTCCGTTGCAGCACACGGGTGGCTTTCAGAACTTTATTAAGGATGCTCAGAACTCCCTATTGCTATGTGAGGTGACCGCAGAGGAGGTCAAGGTTGCAGCCTTTAGTATGCATCCTGACAAAGCACCAGGTCTGGATGGCTTAAATCCAGGTTTTTCCAATCTTTTTGGGATGTGGCGGGTCTGGCGGTGGTTGATTTTTGTGTTCAAAATTTTTGGTCAGACCATTTGCCGGAGGGGTGCAATGATACTACTATTGTCCTCATTCCTGAAAAAGATAAACCTCAGTCTATTGGGGACTACGACTAATAGCCTTGTGTAATGTTGCTTATAGGATTTTTGCTAAGGTTAATCGTATGAAGAAGCTTCTTGATCCGATTATTGCTGAGAATCATAGTGCTTTCATTCCGGGGCGGTCGATAGTTGATAATATTATTTTAGCATTTGAGGTTCACCATTTTCTAAAGCGGAAAACGGAGGGTAATGAGGGTTACGTGGCTCTGAAGCTTGATATGAAGAAATCTTACGATAGGGTGGAATGGAATTTTCTGGAGAATATTCTGAATAAGTTGGGATTTCATGCGAGGTGGATTAGTCTGATAATGCAGTGTGTCATCACGGTCCGCTACAATATTCAAGTTAACAATGATATGATTGGCCCTATTGTTCCTACACGAGGAATCAGACAAGGGGATCCTCTATCTCCCTATTTATTTATTCTGATAGCAGAGGATCTGAGTTCTCTTATTAGTGCGGGTGTAGCTGACCGCCAGTTGCAAGGGATTCGCATTGCCAGGGGAGCGCCAACTCTAACCCATTTTCTTTTTGCAGATGATAGTTTCCTTTTTTCAAGGCCAACGAAATGGATTACAACTTTATCAAGGAGATCCTAGCCCATTACTCTAGGACGTCAGACCAGAAGATCAATTACGACAAGTCCAGTGTCAGATTTAGTGCAAATGTGGCATGAGATGACAAAGATTATCTGAGCAGCTTGTTGGGGGTGTCAGAGGGTGCGGGGGGGGGGGGGGGGGGAGGTAAGTATCTTGGTTTACCATCTATGGTGGGGAGAAATAAAAAGGAGATTTTTGGATATGTTAAGGAGAAAGTTATTCAATGAATACAGAGCTGGAATAATAGATTTATTTCTAGAGTGGGAAGACAAGTGTTATTGAAAATAGTCATTCAGGCAATGCCACAGTATGCTATGAATGTGTTCTTACTACTAGGCGAGCTATGTGAGGAGGTGGAGCGCGTTATGAATGCGTTCTGGTGGAGAGGCCATGCTTTCAAGGGTAAAGGAATTAGATGGCGGTGGTGGTCCAATTTATGTTCTCCAAAAATCTCTGGAGGGATGAGGTTCAGGAAGCTTTAGGACTTTAATATTGCCATGCTGGGAAAACAGGTATGGAGATTACTTAAGCAGCCGAATTCTCTTGTTAGTAAAATTCTTAAGGCCAAGTATTTTCCCAAAGGAGAGGTACTTGAGGCAGGAGTGGGTAGCAATCCCTCTCTCATATGGCGGAGTATTGTTGCGGCTTTACCTTCTGTGCAGGAAGGTCTTGTTTATCGAGTAGGGGATGGGTCTCGAATCCGTGTTTGGAAGGACAAGTGGATTCCCGGAGGCACAAGTGGGAGACCAGTTAAGGGGCCGGTTAGTGGTCGTGAGGATATTATGGTCAATTCTATTATGACGGTTGACGGTAGCAGTTAGGATTGGGATATTCCGCGAGATTTATTTAATGATAAGGATTGTGAAGCTATTTCAGGATTACCGCTAAAAGGGCTACGGGGGGCGGATGAATTGATCTGGGCCGATGACAAGAAGGGGCGTTATTCGGTTCGTAGTGGTTACTGTATGCTTTTAGCTTATGCCGAGACCAGTCCGGCTTGGACTCGGGTTTGGAAGATGGATTTACCACCTAAAGTGAAGACGTTCTTCTGGAAAGTGTGCATGGATTGCCTCCCATCCAAAGATCGATTGTTACAGAGACGTGTACCAGTTTGGCCAGTGTGCAACACGTGCAG